AAAAAATTTGTTGAGATATCTCAATTCAAAATCTCAATTTTTTGGCATAAGAATCTTCAAATTTGTTACCAATAAAAATAGATTCCTATGGGATTAATATTTAAAATGAATTAAATTTTGGTATAAGAATCTTCAAATTTGTTACCATAAGAATCTTCAATTTGTTACCATAAGAAACTCATAAAAATCTCCTATGGATTGGAGTTTATCAATATTTAGTATAGCATCCATTATTCTCGGAATAATTTTTTGTTTGATTTACAATATGAATTTGAAGGGGAAAAAATCCGAAATCGTTAGGATATCTCAATTCAAAATCTCGATTTTTTGGCATAAGAATCTCCAATTTGTTACCATAAGAATCTCATAGAAATCTCCAATTTTTGTTGGTAATTTTTGTTGGCATTTTGACAATTTCTTGTAGTGGTGGTATAACATCCATTATTTTTGGAATAATTTTTTGTTTGATTTACAACATTAATTTGAATGGAAAAAAAGTCCGTAATGGTTGGAATATCTCAATTCAAAATCTCAATTTTTTGGCATAACAATCTTCAAATTTGTTATCAATAAAAGTAGATTCCTATGGATTAAAATTTAAAATGAATTAAATTTTGGTATAATAATCTCCAAATTTGTTACCATAAAAATCTCCAATTTTTTTGGGATATCTCAATTAAATTTGTTACCATAAAAATCTCCAAATTTGTTACCATAAAAATCTCAATTTTTTTGGTACATGTGTTTTTTTCGAAATTTCCACTAATAGTAAGTCAAACCATTTATTCTTTTAGTCAAACTTACTATAAAAGTATTTTTCCAACAACCTCTTTATATTACTACAGATATATATATAGATTTTCAGTCGCACATACCAAACATGAATTTAATTTGATACACACAATACACTCCATCAACTACGTATTAAATATTAATTTAGTCTTATCCCAATCGTGAAGCAAATGGATTCATTGCACAACATGGATTATAATTCCAAATTTAATTTTTTTAGGACCCAAAGTTGCAGAGAAGTCATTAAGAAAAATAACCCAGAAACTTTTTTGAAATTTTGTTCAGAAAAAAACACCAATTTTATGTCGATCACATCTGAGCCACCATGACATAATTACACTTTCTTGAGTGAATTTGCAACGTCTATAACAAATCTATACTTGACATCAGCTCTCTCAAGACGATCCATGGCCGTGTTCACATAATCCATAGGAATTATCTCGACTTCAGGCAGTATATTGTGCTTGGCTGCAAAATCGATCATTTCTTGTGTCTCTTTTAATTTTTTGAAACATGTAAAATTTTCTAAGATAACTTCTATAAAACAAAATGTGATCAAATCATAATTGATTTCATGCCCCAATATTCCGAATCAAACCTTACAATATGGTATGATTATTTACTATTAGTATTTTGTTTTTTCTAACGTCTGATTCTCTTAGGTTTATATGAAACAAAGTTCAGTCAAATCAAAATTGATTTTTATGCCCACACTAAAATTTTATCAATATGATATGTTTATTTTATTTATTTATTTTTTTCAAATCCACAACTCAAATTTTCGAGAGAGAGAAAAAAAAAACAGGAAACAAAATCTTATCCAACTTTATCAAATTTTCGAGAGAGGAAAAAAAACAAAAAAAATTGGAAACAAAATCTTATCAAACCTTATCAATAATGAAGATATGTGTTTCAATGAAAAACTAACAAAATCTCGTGGTTACCAAAATCCTATCAAATTAGTTAACAAAATCCCATTAACTTTGTTAACAATATTGGAACGCATTTTGTTAAGAAAGATTTAAGTAATTTATCTATCTAATTAATATCATATTAACGTGTGGGCCCAATGATATTAATTTAGTATAACATCCAATATCTCGGAATAATTTTTGTTTGATTTACAACATTAATTTGAATGGAACAAAAAATTTGTTGAGATATCTCAATTCAAAATCTCAATTTTTTGGCATAAGAATCTTCAAATTTGTTACCAATAAAAATAGATTCCTATGGGATTAATATTTAAAATGAATTAAATTTTGGTATAAGAATCTTCAAATTTGTTACCATAAGAATCTTCAATTTGTTACCATAAGAAACTCATAAAAATCTCCTATGGATTGGAGTTTATCAATATTTAGTATAGCATCCATTATTCTCGGAATAATTTTTTGTTTGATTTACAATATGAATTTGAAGGGGAAAAAATCCGAAATCGTTAGGATATCTCAATTCAAAATCTCGATTTTTTGGCATAAGAATCTCCAATTTGTTACCATAAGAATCTCATAGAAATCTCCAATTTTTGTTGGTAATTTTTGTTGGCATTTTGACAATTTCTTGTAGTGGTGGTATAACATCCATTATTTTTGGAATAATTTTTTGTTTGATTTACAACATTAATTTGAATGGAAAAAAAGTCCGTAATGGTTGGAATATCTCAATTCAAAATCTCAATTTTTTGGCATAACAATCTTCAAATTTGTTATCAATAAAAGTAGATTCCTATGGATTAAAATTTAAAATGAATTAAATTTTGGTATAATAATCTCCAAATTTGTTACCATAAAAATCTCCAATTTTTTTGGGATATCTCAATTAAATTTGTTACCATAAAAATCTCCAAATTTGTTACCATAAAAATCTCAATTTTTTTGGTACATGTGTTTTTTTCGAAATTTCCACTAATAGTAAGTCAAACCATTTATTCTTTTAGTCAAACTTACTATAAAAGTATTTTTCCAACAACCTCTTTATATTACTACAGATATATATATAGATTTTCAGTCGCACATACCAAACATGAATTTAATTTGATACACACAATACACTCCATCAACTACGTATTAAATATTAATTTAGTCTTATCCCAATCGTGAAGCAAATGGATTCATTGCACAACATGGATTATAATTCCAAATTTAATTTTTTTAGGACCCAAAGTTGCAGAGAAGTCATTAAGAAAAATAACCCAGAAACTTTTTTGAAATTTTGTTCAGAAAAAAACACCAATTTTATGTCGATCACATCTGAGCCACCATGACATAATTACACTTTCTTGAGTGAATTTGCAACGTCTATAACAAATCTATACTTGACATCAGCTCTCTCAAGACGATCCATGGCCGTGTTCACATAATCCATAGGAATTATCTCGACTTCAGGCAGTATATTGTGCTTGGCTGCAAAATCGATCATTTCTTGTGTCTCTTTTAATTTTTTGAAACATGTAAAATTTTCTAAGATAACTTCTATAAAACAAAATGTGATCAAATCATAATTGATTTCATGCCCCAATATTCCGAATCAAACCTTACAATATGGTATGATTATTTACTATTAGTATTTTGTTTTTTCTAACGTCTGATTCTCTTAGGTTTATATGAAACAAAGTTCAGTCAAATCAAAATTGATTTTTATGCCCACACTAAAATTTTATCAATATGATATGTTTATTTTATTTATTTATTTTTTTCAAATCCACAACTCAAATTTTCGAGAGAGAGAAAAAAAAAACAGGAAACAAAATCTTATCCAACTTTATCAAATTTTCGAGAGAGGAAAAAAAACAAAAAAAATTGGAAACAAAATCTTATCAAACCTTATCAATAATGAAGATATGTGTTTCAATGAAAAACTAACAAAATCTCGTGGTTACCAAAATCCTATCAAATTAGTTAACAAAATCCCATTAACTTTGTTAACAATATTGGAACGCATTTTGTTAAGAAAGATTTAAGTAATTTATCTATCTAATTAATATCATATTAACGTGTGGGCCCAATGATATTAATTTAGTATAACATCCAATATCTCGGAATAATTTTTGTTTGATTTACAACATTAATTTGAATGGAACAAAAAATTTGTTGAGATATCTCAATTCAAAATCTCAATTTTTTGGCATAAGAATCTTCAAATTTGTTACCAATAAAAATAGATTCCTATGGGATTAATATTTAAAATGAATTAAATTTTGGTATAAGAATCTTCAAATTTGTTACCATAAGAATCTTCAATTTGTTACCATAAGAAACTCATAAAAATCTCCTATGGATTGGAGTTTATCAATATTTAGTATAGCATCCATTATTCTCGGAATAATTTTTTGTTTGATTTACAATATGAATTTGAAGGGGAAAAAATCCGAAATCGTTAGGATATCTCAATTCAAAATCTCGATTTTTTGGCATAAGAATCTCCAATTTGTTACCATAAGAATCTCATAGAAATCTCCAATTTTTGTTGGTAATTTTTGTTGGCATTTTGACAATTTCTTGTAGTGGTGGTATAACATCCATTATTTTTGGAATAATTTTTTGTTTGATTTACAACATTAATTTGAATGGAAAAAAAGTCCGTAATGGTTGGAATATCTCAATTCAAAATCTCAATTTTTTGGCATAACAATCTTCAAATTTGTTATCAATAAAAGTAGATTCCTATGGATTAAAATTTAAAATGAATTAAATTTTGGTATAATAATCTCCAAATTTGTTACCATAAAAATCTCCAATTTTTTTGGGATATCTCAATTAAATTTGTTACCATAAAAATCTCCAAATTTGTTACCATAAAAATCTCAATTTTTTTGGTACATGTGTTTTTTTCGAAATTTCCACTAATAGTAAGTCAAACCATTTATTCTTTTAGTCAAACTTACTATAAAAGTATTTTTCCAACAACCTCTTTATATTACTACAGATATATATATAGATTTTCAGTCGCACATACCAAACATGAATTTAATTTGATACACACAATACACTCCATCAACTACGTATTAAATATTAATTTAGTCTTATCCCAATCGTGAAGCAAATGGATTCATTGCACAACATGGATTATAATTCCAAATTTAATTTTTTTAGGACCCAAAGTTGCAGAGAAGTCATTAAGAAAAATAACCCAGAAACTTTTTTGAAATTTTGTTCAGAAAAAAACACCAATTTTATGTCGATCACATCTGAGCCACCATGACATAATTACACTTTCTTGAGTGAATTTGCAACGTCTATAACAAATCTATACTTGACATCAGCTCTCTCAAGACGATCCATGGCCGTGTTCACATAATCCATAGGAATTATCTCGACTTCAGGCAGTATATTGTGCTTGGCTGCAAAATCGATCATTTCTTGTGTCTCTTTTATTCCCCCAGCCGCTGTCCCCACTATCGCCTTTCCCCCTGAAATTGCGTTATCCTAAGCCTCAGAACAAAAGTAAGATATGCAAAATCAATGTAATAAGTTTTGACTAATTATAATGCAAACAAATACTCCTAAATTTTTGGAATCAGCCACAGTGAAAAAGAAAATGTCAGCAGTATTACTAGTAAGTTTATGAAAATTTAGTTTTGTAATCAAACTGAACTATAAAAATGGGATTCTAAACTCTAAAGGCTTACCAATCAGCAGGGGAAAGATAGGAATCTCAAGTTTAGGTGGAGCTCCAATTAATATGAGTTGGCCGTGAGGTTTTAACAAATTTACCAACGGTAAAAGAGAATGATTTGCCGAGACAGTATCGATGATTCCGTCCAAGGTCCCGACAGCAGCCTATAAATAATATAAGCACAAGTCATGTAAATTTTGAAAAAAAAAAATAAAAATTACACTCCGATCACTAGAAATTAAGACTAATCCTACATTTCGTAATCATGAATTATTTCAAATTTATTAATTGAAAAATCGAAAAATTACCTGCATTTGTTCCTGGTCAGTGCTGACCAAGAACTCGTCCGCCCCAAAACGCTCGACTGCCTCTTCCTTCTTACTAACCGACGAACTCACGACAGTCACTTTACACCCAAATGCTTTAGCAAACTTCACGGTGAGGTGTCCAATGCCCCCAAGCCCAACAACACCCAATCTAATCCCGGGCCTGTCAAGCCCAAACCGCCTCATTGGGCTGTATGTGGTGATGCCAGCACACAAAAGTGGGGCCCCCTTATCGAGTGCCAAATTCTCGGGCCACCGGATCACGAAATGCTCGTCCACGACCATAATGTCCGAGAAGCCACCGAAATTGGGTGTCCCGTCAAAAAAAGTCCCGCTTACCGTCATTTTTATCTTCGGGCAGTAACTTTCATCGTTTTTACGGCACTCCTCACACTCGCGGCACGACCCCACCCAGCACCCGACACCGACTATGTCCCGTTTTTTGAATTTCGTTACCTTTGCGCCTATTTCGGTCACGACCCCTACAATCTCGTGCCTGCATTCGGAATATACAAATTTTAAAGGGGTGTATTCGTTTAGGATTTCGAGTGACATTTTAGAGACTTTTTCAAATTTGAGATTTTTTTGAGATTTTCAAATTTTGGAGGTATGTGTGAAATCTTAAGTCTAGATTTGGGAGTTACAGTAAAATTTCGTACAAATTTTGTTATTTAGAAGCCCAGTAAATCTTAAAAAGTCTTAACAAATTCTAGTACCAAATAAGTTAAATATCTCAGGATTTTGTAAGACTTTTTAATATCCTAAATGAATATCTCAAGACTTTTAAAAGTGTTGAAATATCTAAATTAAATACATTTATGAAGTCTTAAAAAGTTTTTAAAAAAAAAAAAAAAAAAAAAAGGTCCTATATATGTGTTTGGAACATTGTTTAAAGTAAGTTACCCAGGTATCAAGGGATAAGCAGTGAATCCCCACTCATTCTTGGCCAAGTGAAGATCTGAATGGCAAATGCCACAGTACAAAACCTTAAACTGCACATCAAGTTCACCAGTTGCCCTGAAACATTTTAGTCACAACACATTTTTGAAATGCTTAAGTAATTGGAGATAAGTTGGATGTGTTTTGATGAAATATTTGTATTACCTCCTTGAGAAGTTGGTTGGAGTAAAAATGGCAGAGTTATCATTAGCAGCCCATCCAAAAGCCTTGATTGGGTGCTGAGTTTCCAGTGACGCCGCCATTCACAAAACAAGCAGGACTCGGCAGAGAGAGAAGAAAGATAACAAAATAGGCTCAATATGTTGTATGTTTTGTTTCAAGTGAAGGAGAGTTCATTTTAATTTTATGTATTTTAATTTTTGTTGTGTAGGAATATTTGATTTTTTCTTTTTAATATATGTGCCTCATAAATTGTTCAAGAAAGCAAAAAATTATTTAATATTGCCCTCGTGCTGCACATGCGAGGGCTGATGTTCATTGTATAAGAGCATCCACGTCGGCATTAATGGTGGCCCCTAATTGTGTTCAAAGCAGTTGAAACCTGAACGCCGTTCAGCTGCAATTTTTTTCGTTTAAAAATAATTATTTATTCATATTATTTTCCTTTTTATATTTATTCATTTTTTTTTTATCAATATCACACTTTTTAATATTGATAAATTTAAATTTTATTTATATCACACTTTTCAATTCAATATGTATTAGTAATTTACATTTTCTATCCTCCTATTTTTTTATGCTTATAAATACACCATATTTTACAATTTTCTTGCACAAAAATATTATCAACTGCTCATTTGCTTAAAAAATTGGATCCGAATAATAAAGAAAATTTTTAAAATTTTTCAAGCTCTAATCATAGCATTCTAGATGAAATTAAATTATCCCAAAATTCACAAACTCCTTTAAATTACTATTTCCACGAGTTCCTTATCCTGCACAATTTTTTCCACAATTCTCATCAAATCGTGAATTTAAAAATTATATTCATAAAAACTCAGTGATACGAGACAATACAATGCATCACCAATTTCGTGCAGACTTAGTTAAACATATTTGAACTCATTTTGCTGCCAACTAAATTTTTTTTTTCGTTCTACTATTTTTCATTTGTAATCTTAATTTATGTTTTTTTAATCTAATAATGTTATTTTTTTCAGCATTTAAAATTAAGCATTTTAATTAAAAAATACATTTATTTTTATTAAGAATATAATATAAGAATAATATTGAATGGGTGGAAATGGGTCCCATATGTTGGCATTTCAATATAGAGATTCTTTTGTAGTTAAATAATTTATATTTTTATTGTTTATTTATAAATAATAAAATTTATAATATAATATATATATTATCTTGTTTATAATTTTAATATTATATATATACACATAATTTATAATATTTATAATGTATATATATTTGTACATGTATACATGATCAACCACTATCTATATATATCTAAAAAGGTTGATGTAAAAATCCTTTTTTAGAAACCTAAAAATAATTGAGTTGACTTTTGACTTTCTATTTATGTATTCTACTTTAAAATCGGAAGAAAAATCGTGAAAAGGCAGTGGATATTTCATTAATTTAGCATGAAATTTGCGTTAATTAAGCAAATGGATATTCTCCATAATAATGGTGATATTTCCGTTAATTAAGCATGCGAAATTGATTGTCCGTTGCAAAAATCATGGGACTTACTATTGTTCGCTAATTATTTTCGCTATCCGCAAGTGTACGGAGTAACTATAGGTAGTGGCGAGCAAGGTCGTATTCCACAGAGATTGTAGTTAAATTAATTAAGTACTAAAATAATGACGACTAAATATTATCTAGACTAATGAATTGGATGATGATTATTAACTAAGAAATTAAACTAAGAACTAATCTAACTAAAAATAAAAATAAAAATAAACAAAGAAACAAAAGTAGATTCTAGGCTAAGCGTTCCTCGGAATTAATTCATGAAACGTTTATATTCAAACAAACCTTATTTAATTTTACCAATCGTAGAGATAATCGCTAAATTGATTTCAAACCTTTCTCTCGAACAAGTCAAATCGTAGATATTAATTGTTATCTATCTCCTCTCGGTCTCAAGATGAACAACTAACTCCCATAAGTTCCTAGGATTTTCGTTCTCTCGCAAGGTCCTATCAACCTCTCGGTCTGTTTATTCTCTTACGTTATAAATTTCCCAATTCTAGCAATCAATTATCTCCTCTCGGTCTCAAATCGATTACAAATATGTATTCATAGTGGCCATCTACTCACACAATAAAAATAAGCACAAGAAATTCATAAACGAAAGATAAACCGGAATGGAAGAAATAAAAACTAAATCATAAATTAATCCGAGTACTAACAAATCCTAGAATCTAAAATAAATCTAGCCTAGAAACATGTTTTCAAAATAAGAAAAATAGATATAAAAGATTGAGTTCGAAAGAGGAAAAGAAAAAGAAAGAAAAAGCTTATTCGGCTCCGTCGATCCTTTCTTCCCGGCTTTCTCCCTCGTCTTGCTCGTGTTTCTAGCCTCCAAGAGTCTCCAAAATATGTCCAAGACTCCTCAAAAACGTGCCCTAGTGTTGTTTAAATAGTTGGAGTCGAGTCCTACTCGAAATAGGTCGAAAATACCACAAAAATCGGAAAAACGCGTAAAACGCGCATTGGTCGCGCCCAGGGTCACACGACTCGTGTCATAGGTCACACGAGTCGTGTGACAATGCCGAGAGCTCATTAAACGACCCGTCAGAACGACACGAGCCGTGTCTCGGGCTCACACGACCCGTGTGGACCTGGGCGTCCAAAACTCGTTTCGTGGCTGATTTTCGGCTCTTGACGTGTTCTCCAGCTCCTCAGGCGTCTCCCAGCTGTCTCACGTGTCGTCCATGTGTCCAGAAGTCGTTCAGGTGGTCGGCATGGCTGCTCCGGTTGGACTCCGGCGGCAAGGTGGCGAGCAGCGTCTCTTCGTTGCTCGAACTCTCTGGCGGTGTATAAGGCGGAAGGGGTCATCGGTCATGGCTTCCAGGTGGTGCGCCGGCGAGTGTGGTGGCGAGTGGACAGCTTGTCGAGCAGCTCAAAACTCAACAATGGCGGATGTACGTGAGTGAAGATGATGGCTCTTCTCTCTCCTCCAACATCTTAGTCACCGAAATTACGATGTTGCCCTTCACTTAAAGCACATGTGGGCTGATTTTATGGAATAGGATGGGCTGGTTCTTCGGCCCAAGAAACCAAACAAAATGGGCTGTCATGATGCTCTTGTGGGGCTATGTACTTGGGCCTGTCCCAATGCTTGGCTCCCGCTACTTTTATGTACAATTCACGCCATTTTCGACTCCAAAAATTAACTCGACCTGTTTCCTATCAAAACTCAAATAAAACACCTTCGTCATAGCTTAATATAAATAATTAAATAATTAAGTAATTAAAGAATAATTAATTAAATAATAATTAATTATATATCAAACTACGACAAAACGGACACAGAAATCACTACAAAATGCACGTAAATATGACGCATGTCAACTATCTATCCAAATACAATTCATAACTATCTTATCACTTTTGGTTAATAAAAAATATGTGAAATTGATTGTCCGTTGCAAAAATCATGGGACTTACTATCTATTCAAATACAATCCATAATTATCTTATCACTTTTGGTTAATAAAAAATTGTATAAAAGGATATTCACTACCACCATTACAACTCATCATTCACGAGTTCAGAGAAAAAAAAAAATACAGAGAATAATTTTTGCATATACAATATAATGCTTCCAGGCTGGGGTACACTTGATTCCGTTAACAAAAGAAACAAACTTTTTTTGCGTCTGAGAGCACCCCGCATTATTGAAACCCATGACGAACGGGAGAGCTGTAACGCATTCCATTTCATGATGAACAAGTAATATTTACCTTTGTTATTTCAATTTTATATAATTTAGAAAATTATTTTAATTAATATTTATAAATTTGTATCGTAGGGTGCTTTCATTAAATGAATAATACGATCCGAATATGAGAGCAGCAAACTTTATATAAACTGAGAGCAGTCTAATTTTTGTAAAATATGTAAACTTTAAACGTGTTTTTATATATAGAATTGTATATACTTTTAAACATGTTAGTTGGGCAAACTTTAAGGATATATATATGTGTGTGTATGCTAACTTTAAGTATATATATTTTTCTTATAAAATAGTCTAGACAGAATTGAGATAATTTCACATTTTTCGATAATAATATAAAATATTTTAATACTTTCACATATGTTATATAATAGTCTACGTATTCTTAATGTCTTTTGGTTGTAACGTTGTTAACACATATAATATTAGATACTTTTAAACATATTTAGATAATTTTTTTACTCATTCTTTAATATCTATGTGCATAAAAAGAGAATAAGATTTATAAAATATTTTCCGGCAATATACTAAATGTTAGATAAAAAATCTCATTTTATTTGTTATATAATATTTCGAGTTGCATTAATTTTGATTTGTATGTGTAAACTTGATAAATTAAGCGTATGAAATGGAGCGTACGAATTACTGTAAGGATTTAAAAAATAAAAAATAAATCTAATTTTTTAATATTTTCTACTAACTTCTAAACGAATTTATGTCATAATTCGTCATAATTTTCCCACATCATGTCAATATTAATTTTATATATACTAGGTAAAAGGTAAATCATTATCTCAATATTTATTCTATATATTCTAAGTAAATCTTCTCATCTATCTCAACGGTCCGCAGGTAGTATTTCATACTTTTCTATTCATAATCAAATATATCAAAGCTTCTCAAATTTTACTTCTCAAAGAAAGTGTTCAATAATTTATATTTTTTTTCCCTTCTTTGCAATCCATTTATTTTTGTTATATATATATAAATTATATTATTTTTAATATTTCACACGTTAAACATTTCAGGAAAATATACCATCTCGTGCATCGCACGGGCTACGCGCTAGTTATTTTGAAAAAGGAGGGAGAGTTTGCTTATTTTATATTTCGTCTACATTCAATAGTGTGCGGTGCCCCCGAATAGCACTCACGTAGCAGGCCTTAAACGAGCTGAATAGGCCCACGAAGCTCATTCAGCCCAACCCACTCCACTTTCCCATCAGTCAAAATCTCCGCCTGCTCTTCCTTCTCTCTGCATTTCCCCCAACCAAAAAACTCCTCTCTCAAGATCAAAATCAAAATCCAAATCCAAGAAATGGCCTTGGAGTGGGTAGTTCTAGGCTACGCCGCCGGCGCCGAAGCCATCATGCTCCTCTTCCTGACACTGCCGGGCCTCGACCCGATCCGGAAGGGTCTCATCACCGTGACCCGGAGCCTCCTCAAACCCTTCCTCTCCGTGGTCCCCTTCTGCCTCTTCCTGCTCATGGATATCTACTGGAAGTACGAGACCCGACCCAGCTGCGACTCCGACTCCTGCTCCCCCTCCGAGCACCTCCGCCACCAGAAGTCCATCATGAAGTCGCAGCGCAACGCGCTCCTCATCGCCTCCGCCCTCATCTTCTACTGGCTCCTCTACTCCGTCACTGGCCTCGTCGTCAAGATCGATCAGCTCAACAAGCGGATCGAGAAGCTCAAGGAACAGTGATTTTGATCTGCGACGACCCTGGCTCTTCCCCGTTGGTATTTGAGCAGTAATTTCCCTTTTCGTTTTTAGGTGTGTTTTTCATGATGCTATTAAGTTTTATGTTCTAATAACTATTGCTTGGGTTCTTTTTTTTTTACCTTGGATGTCATGTATGGTGCTTGTATGGCTTTGAAGTTAAAAATTAGTATAACTGCGTAGTTAATTTGAGAAGTTTCTTTATGCGATTTCTGTTCTTTTGTTTTATGGTTCTGATAAGTTTCATATATATCTGGGTTTCTGATGTTTAAATGACATGAAGAACAACAGGTTTAGCGTGATTTCGAAATAATATATTTCTGCTTTGGTGGTTTTAAGGACTTACTTTGAGCCTATAAACAACCTTTCTCAAGTAACTTGGTCTATATTTTATAATCTCGTTTTTATGGTTCTTTAGATTGCGTTTCACACACAATTGGTATTAATGATGCATTTTTGCACTATAATTGTTGGATTTTCTAACTTGGTCTGGAAGAGCATTTTTATGTCTCTTTGGATTGTGTTTTCACAATATGTTGGTAAGTCTGCATCTTTTTACACTGCCTTAAGTATGTCCTGGCCTTCTTGGTTTTTAATCATTGCTGGCATTTTCTGCCTTGGTTTAGAAGAGCATTCATGTGTATGATGGATATTTGTGGAACCATAGTCCAAGATTGTGAAGTACTTGTTAGATGTGTATGCACTTTGCTTATACTAAGCCTGCATGATTTTTGTCACTTATAAATGAATTGGAATTAAATCTTGAAACTTATGTAGGATGCGTGCAATATTAATGACCTGAGTAAGACATTCTCTATGTGTATTATAATAACAAATATATTTTTTGAAATGTTTAATCTTTGCAAGTCTGCTGGTTTTGTTTTTCTCACTCTTGTCAAAAAGGGAAATGGGGTTTGTAATGACCAATAACATTCCCTCTTGTAGTCTAGTAGTTTCTGTTAGTGGGGTTGTGTTAACATGTTTGTGTGCCTCAGTTTTGCTATAGGGCATAATTGCTTGATATAGAGAGTTTGAAACAATATGATTTCGGATGAAGTGAAGTTATTTTGATTTAGTTGTTCCATATGTACTAATGAGGGGAAATAACAGAAAAGGAAACATGAGGAATAAGAGGTTACAAGCCACAGATGTATGCATTGTTTTAAAATTACTCAAGATAGATAGTCACACATTGCAAGCTCCTGTCTGGCCTCCTGGCTTGTTTTAGAATTGATTCTTGATGGAATTTGTCTTTGATTTTATTCTTCTTGGTGGTTTATAACTTTTTTCTTTGGTTGTCTTGTTGGCTCATGTCTCAGTTCCGTNATTTAAAGATTATTTTGCAATATGCCCTTAAATTTGTAGTCTTATTTATTTTCTTTTGTTTTTCCCAACTGATCCATGTCCTCACCTCAAGTCCAGGCCATGAGCAAATCACCTTGCTCACCTTTCGCCTTTAGTAACTATGAATGTGTGAGATAAAGTAAAACAGGTTTCATTGTGGTGTAGTATGTAATAAATGTGCTGAAAACAAATTGAATATGGTGGGAACACGACTTTAGCTTTGGAATAAGAGAAGTGCCCTTCTTATGGCACTTGTACTAATTTTGATTCAGAGTGGATGTAAGTGGTGGCCAATCACTGTAGTTAAAATATGAATATTGTGTACTGAATTTAAAACAAGGGATGATATTGAGAAACTACCTTTTTTTGTGTAATAGCAAATTTTATGGCCTGAAGGGACCAAATTTGCTGACATGTGTTCCTCTTAAGTTCAGAATAACCTCAGTCCTTTTATTCAGCGCAAAAGCTTCAAGCGTTTCTCAATCATATTTTGGCATTTTTGCTTTTGTTATTTTCATGTTGGCTCCTAATCTGGATGGATGGTAAATTTACCTGAGATGCTTGCATAACTGTTCTAGCATTTGTATTCTGTGCTCGATCATAATCGAATGTTTTCATTGACCTGAGTTTTGGCTCGACAATTGTTTTGTGTAGTGAGACACTATTCTATCCTGAAATAAATATTTGTCAACCTCTTTTNTTCACGCTTATTGGGGAGTTTTTGTGTTATCCATTTTGACTCCGGGAAAAAGAAGTCTCTCATCGATGTTCTTAAGCATATTTTTGTTTCGACATCAGGTGCGGATGGGGATATACTAAAATGACCCAACAATAATTGTGGTATTCCATATTTAACAGAATAGAACAAAAATTAAATATGAAGTTACGAATAATTGATGATTTTATGATACGCGAAGAAGAAACAGAAGTGTTCCTGAGATATATATCAAATTACGAGTCTATGGATGTGAATGGGTCGGGTCGGTGCAGGTTTTGGCAAACCCGAACTCGACCCGCATATAATTTATTCATAAAGTTAGAAGACAGTTTTTTTGGATCAAAGTTCATTGTAATACATTGAAGATACTACTTAATTTTAAAGGACATATCGCTATGATTCATGTACTTGACTAGCAAAAAATCAATCAAAACTCAAATTTAATTCAATCTTACTATTCTTAATATTATCAATATAGTTAAATAATATAATCCAATCATTCTTACCCATTACATTAATTTTAATTTACTATTCATCCACTTACATAATTTTAACCAATCATTTTCTACTACTTTACATCAAATCAACTTTAATTATTTTAATTGAAACTTAAATTTCCACTAACAACTAATCATACCACATTTTTTTATAATTAACTATGGTTAACTAAAAAAATAAATAAAAAAATAATTAAATGCATATCCAATCAACCAATATTTTATTTTCTCAAGTATCTTGTATTAATTATAAACAAGATCATTTTAAAAGGGTCCATATGTTCTTATTTATAAGGAGTAAAAATACTGTTAATCTCCTTAATCCATACAATTCGCACGTTTGATATTAATTCTGTGATGGAGAGAATTAATAACTAGACATCGCACCGTTTCTCTAAACGGTATTTGTCAAAAGGAGTCTACTGCCAAAAGGTATCATAATATCTTTCTGCCAAATGGTACCATCTGTTTTAAAAGGTCACTGGGCTCATCATTTTATAACTACTGAAACTTACACCATCTAAAGAGAAAGTGAAAGAGCCTAGAAGATCTCGACTGAAGAAAAGTGAAAGTGTCGAAGCCTTATAGGTTCCTCACGATTTTATTTGCTCGAATGGCCCCGTAAGTATGTTTTGCTGGCCGTTATTTTCTATAAGTTCTTCAAATAACTAAAACACACACAAGCAATGATTGGAGGTATGTAATATCGATCACTCCGCTGCACCGATATATGATTGAATCGGATAAATATTCTTACAAGCCAAACTTGTTGGAAACTAGCCTCAGTGCAATGGAGTGACAGGAAACTATCTGCCTTTCTCTGTTTTTTGTTTTCACTTTTTTAGTTGTTGGATTTTCTGTTGTGTTTTCTTGTTAATTTGGTTCTTTTGTGCTATTGTGTAGAGTCTTTGGGGCTGTGTGCAGGGTTTGTACTCGGTTTAGACCAACTTAATTGGTCATCCCATTCTTATCTGGTGGGAGTTGTATTGACTTTGTGTTTCTTTTGGTTCTGAGAGATTCCTTNAAGAATGAACTAACTCAATTTTGGTTCAAAATTGGACTTTTCTTAATTAACATCTCTAATCACAACTAATCTATTTTTAAATTAAGTATAAGAATACATGTAAGAAAGGTGATTCTCATTTTATGTTAAACATTGACGATGGATTTTTGTAATCAAATTATGTGAAAATTAAACTAGTCTGGTATACTGTAAGTCAGAAGTTGTTAATCACGTAAATTAGATGTTTTACAGTTTTAGACTTTTAGTATATAATAAAAGTAAATAAATATAAAAGCAGCACAATCCAGTTAATGCAGGTGGCGAATCATTCCATCAGATCATATATTATATCCACTTATAGGATCTTAATTTTATTTAACCATTTTGCAGGATTAACTAAATTAGTAATAAGTGGATTTTGCACTCCGAAAATCTTCCTCTATTTTACAGAACAGTTGGCCTTTTGCCGTTTGCCGTTTGCCGTTTGCCGTTTGCCGTTTGCGTGTGTTGTTAGAGAGGAAATAGAAAAACAGAACGTAAAATAGAAAGAAAAAAAATAAAAAACCAAAAATATGCGCAAGCTGTGATTGTGCATGAGCTTTTTCCTTTTTACCTCAACATTTCCAAAAATGAAATCAACTCAGAGAAACAAAAAGATTCAACTCAAATATAATTCCTTCTTTTTGTTTCACATTCATTTGCTTTTATTATCATTATTTATTAAGAAAATAATTCCGAAATATAGAAAATTCGCCACAGTAAATGAGTAATATCATATGCAAACTGCTCCTAATCCAATTTTCACAAAATATAACCGAAATCCAATTCTGTCCAGCGAGTTACAGTCTGTTACTTTCTGTCTTTA